AAACCAAACCAAACCAAACCAAACCAAACCAAACCAAACCAAACCAAGATCCAGAAAGCAAGAATCAGCTTACTATTTGAACTGAAAGAACAAAGAATGTGTTTACACTGAAGAAGAATGTGTTCACCCTGAAGGACAACCCTAGACAGTTAGTCTCCCTTTGACTCCACCTTGTATAGTTAAGTAGTTGAGATGGAAACATTCCACCTGGTAGGGAAGCTCCTGAAGACAGAGGTAAACAACTCAAAATAGCTCCAGGAAGTCCCAGAAACTGAGCAGATTCACCAGGCCCCTCCCCCTTCAAGAGTAAATAGTGAAGATAGCCAAGAGTCACTGTCTGATCAGCCACTGAAGCTGTAAAGAAGCAGAGACCAACCAAGTAGCCTGCATGAGGGAGGGGTTGGGGAGGGGGGGAAGAAGGACAAAAACCAGGTAGTGCAACCTGACAGAGGTTTATAACATCAGGGCACCTGGAAGGGAAATTTTGCAGCCTGTTGAGCTGCTGCAGGCTATGCAGTGTGCTCTAGTCTCCTAGCTATTGAGAGATGTGCCTGTGCTGGGTGGATGGGCTTTGAGTCCTTTCTACTCCTGTAAAAAACTCCTCACTCATGACCCCATAAATCACCCCCAATAAAACACACTAGTTCAGCAAGTTAGCCTTTGGTGGGATCTGTACTTCAGTTTGCTGTGTGTGTGTGTGTCTGTGTTGCGACTCCCCAGGAAAAGTCTGTCACACTATACTTGACACTCCGAGGTCCCTTTGGCTTACAGCAATAATAAGGAGGTGAGGAGCTCAGGAGGGACAGCGACTAGGAGACAGGCAGCCTGACTCCCCTCTAGGACACAGCTCTGATTCACTAGCAAAACTCTGTTCCATACTTTTCTGTCTCTGAATCCAGAGCGCTTCTTCTTCTTCTCCTCAGGATAAGGCTCAGCCACAGCATCTGCAGCCCTTCCTTCATGGCTGGACACTTCCCCGGTGTCTTTGGTTTTCCCTTTCTCTCCCGGGTCAGTCTTCTTGCTGTTGACGCATGGTGGAGACTCCGCGTGAGCCCTGGTGGTGCAGAAGAGAAACCTAGGTTAAGCAGGAAGCTCCAGTCGCTAACACGTACTCACACACAGCCTAGCAGAGCACCCATCACACTTGTCATGAATCCCACGCGAAGGACCTCCTAACACAACCGAGAATACTCAGCACCCCTTTGGTACACGTGTACAAAGCAGAAGCAGCAACCTGCTGGAGAAAGTACGTTAGGCACAGAGGGCAAATTCGACACAACTGCACTTCTATGAGTTATGGAGCTTAGTGAAAGCACAGGGCAGACGAGGGATGTGGCATGAGTACAGGGTCTCAGGCTGTGACAGTCTGAAGACAGACGGTGAGGGGTGCAGGGCTGTGCTCTGCAGTGGGGCCGTCATTTCATGTTCATTCCCATTTCGTGGGAACATCAGCTTTTAACTGTTTTGAGGTTTATTTACTTTTATGTGTATGAGTGCTTTCCTGAGCAGTGTGTGTGTGTGTGTGTGTGTGTGTGTGTGTGTGGTGTGTGCAGTGTCAGCAGAGGTCAGAAGAGGGCACTGGATGCCCTAGGACTGGAGTTCTAGACTGTTGTTAGCAGCCATATTGAGAACTGAACCTGGGTCTGGAGCTTTCAGCCTCTGTGCCGTCTCCTCAGCTCCAGGATATCATCTCATGCTTATTTTCCAATGAGTATATCATTTCATTCTTTTTAATAAGCACACCACTTCATTCTTATGAGGACGTTCCAGAGCCCTAATTCACAACAAGAAAATATTTAATATGACTAAAATGTTTTTAAATGGTTAAAATGAAAAATGCTAGGTACTGTTTACAGTAATAGAAGTAGAAATAAAATAAAAACAAGTAAAAAAAAGTAATAAAATCTTTCCCTCTGTGTGTATTTGTATGTCTGTGTATGCATGTGTGTATGTATGCATGTGTATATGTGTATGTATGTATATGCATGTGTATGTATGTATGTATATGCATGTGTGCACATGTATGTGATATGTGTGTAGAAATGGAGAACTGCAGGCAAGCATGTACCAGGATAATGTGTGCTGGTCAGAGGACAACCTCAGATGTTGATCTTCATCTTCTACCTGTTTGAACAGGGTCTTTGTTGTCTGTGGCTATGAATGGACTCCAGCCTAGCTGGTCCATGAGCTTCCGGGGATTCTCTCGTCTGTTCCTCATTTCCCTGGAAGATGGCAGATACCCTTCCACTTTTGTGTTTGTGTCTTTTACAAAGAAAACAGAATATGTGTGACTGATGAAGGGGCTCCCAGAGAGAGAGGGGGAAGAGCGGGGACAGGAGAACGAGGGAAAGTACACTGCTATTAGTCTACTAGAATAATGGAAGAGCCTTTTTCTCAGATTCTTGTTTATTGAAAATAACATTTTCAATATATTCTTTTGTTTGCTTGTTTTGGTTTTTGAGACAAGGTACATAGCCCTGGCTATCCTGGAACTCACAATGTAGACCAGGCTGGCCTCCAACTCACATAGATCCACCTACCTTTGCCTCCTAAGTGCTGGAATTAAAGGTGTGCACCACCACACCCAGCTCAATGTAAACTGTTATGATCTTGGTTTCCCTTCCTCATCTCCACCCAGGTCCCTCCTGTCTCCTCCCAGGTCCTCCCCAACTCTTCCCAGATCCTCCCCATCTCCCACCTTCCAACTCTACACTTTATTTTTCTCTTACTTTAGAAAACAAACAGGTAAATCAAAAAAAACCAAACAACAAAGAAAAAGCAAGAAACAGAGGCACAAACACACAAACAGACACAGGCACAGACATACACACACACATATACACACACACACACACACACACACACACCATAAAAACACAAAATTGGAAATCATAATCTACAAGCAAAAACTTGGGCAGGGACTTGCCCTTAAGGGTGGCTTGTATAACCACAAACTCCCTTGGAGAAACTAATTTTTCCTTTGTGAGCAGTTGTCAAGTGGAGAGAGCTGCTGGGTTAAGTTTTTGAGACAGGGACTCTGCCTCAAGAGTAGACCCAAGGCAGATCAGACGTGTGATTTGTTTCAATTAGTTTCCTACAGCACATTCTGAAACATCATTATGCTTTAGAACACCAAGGTTCTCACCGTAGGTCACCGTGAATCCTGCATGACAGTTCCAACCTTGCTGTTGTCTTTTTAAGTAAAGTCATGCTAAGTAAAGACATAAGGCACCAGCCATTGCAACCACAATGTGGCCACTGCACAAAAGGCTTCAGTTACAAAGAAAGGCAAATTTAAGTGGGGAAGAAAGCAAAATGGGAAAGAAGTGTGGGGCAATGAAAGGAACAGAGAGCACAGGATAGAAACCGTGCAAGCAGATGCAAAAATGTCCCTCAAATTTCTCAGGCTGACAACATGGCACCAACCCTGATGCCACAAACCCTGATGGCTTCAGTTTATCAGTACCTTTTAGATGAAGCTCATAGTGTGAGGAAAGAACCAACTCTAGCCAACCGTCCTCTGACTGACACAGACAGACAGACAGACACACACACACCTCTGATAATTTCATACACTGTAGATAGTATATTCTCCCTACTTTCATGTCTGTTCTTATGCCCCTCACACTATTGTCAATCACCCACTAGGAGTTTCTTTCCCACATTTAAATCTTTTTGGTTTGTCTTGGGACTTACTGAGTTTAACCATGGCCATCTGTGTGGTCTCAGGCTTAGAGCCATCTGTCAGACGCTAGTGGACTAATCATACAAATGAAGACCATGGCTGCCATTTTCATTTTTGTTGTTTGGAGACAGGGTCCGTCTCTCTAGTCCTGGCTGTCCTGGAACTCCCTCCTGTGTAGAGAAGGCTGGCCTCAAACTCACAGAGATCCACCTGCCTCTGTCTCCCGAGTGCTGGGATTAAAGGTGTGTACCACCACCACCTGGCTTGTATCAGCCTTCTGAGTCTGAGAGGGAGATGCTTTCTACAGTTTTTTAAGTAGTTGAAAGTTATCAAAGCATCAACACTCAGTTCTCAGCACTCATGCCCGGAGTTCCCAAGCACCTGTAACTCCAGCTCCAGGGGACCCAATGGCCTCTTCTGCCTCAGCCAGATTCCCTCACGCATGTGCACATACCCCACACAAATATACACACGTAGACATAAATAGAAATCTTTTAAAAGGATTTAATTTTTAGTGGCAATCTGAATAGACAATTCACAAATGGCCACCAGTTCTGGGAAGAGGCTTGGCATTGTCAGTTGTTTGAGAAGCAGAACGCAAAACACAAGGAACTGTGCAGTGTTCTGACCAGAGAGTACAGAGTGAGCAGGAACAGGATCCCTGCCCAGCCAGACTGCGGAGGTGCAGTGCCCAGAACCCAGTAGAAAACTGTTTGGGTTTTACTTTGTTTCAAATACTATTTTTTATTTTATTTTATTACCCTTATTTATGTATGGGAAGACGTCCACCACAGTGAGTGTAGAGGTCAGAGGACAACTCTGGGAGTTGTTCTCTCCCATCATGTGGGTCCCAGGGATCAAACTCAGCTCATCTTGTCTGGTGACAGGAATCTTAACCCTCTGAGCCATCTTGCTGCCTCAGTTTGACAGTTTTGAACCAAGTTTACATTTACCTGGCAAATACATTCCTATGTATTTAGCCAAAGGAAAGAACGACTTACATATGTATTTCAAGGTGGTGTCTATCAATGAGAACAAACAAGTAGAAGCAAGCAACAGGTAAATGGATAAACTGTGCCGCCCTTATGAAAGAGCACTATCTGATTGCAAAGGAGCTCCAACTTGTGATGCCAATGGATGTATCAGGCTAAGTTAAAGAAGACACAGCCAAGACATTGTTATTACTTTGCCACAAGTTGTTTAAAAGACAGGCTGCCCTCAAACTGTCAATGCTCCTGCCTCTGTAATCCCTAGGGCTGTGATTCGAGGCTATGCCACCAACCTGCCTCCAAGAATACTTTTTTATGACCCCACTTATGTCATGTTTCAGAAATATAAACTGATAATGACAGAAATCAACTCACCAGTTGCTTGCAATTGTGGGTGACATTAACTGGCATGGAACAAGCACAGGAGGGCATTATAGGTTGGTGGAAATGTTCTATTTCTTATTTGGGGGTGGTTAAGCAGCTATATGCATTTGTTAATAATCATGGGACTATTTGTTTTACACGGGCACACTTTATTATATACTTATTCAGTATAGTGTACTTCTAAACTGTACTGTTTTGGAAAGCCAAGTGTCAGGATATCAATTGGAAGACAGGGTGGAGGAGATGGAAGAGAAACACGAAGTATGGCAGAGACAGAAGAATTGAAGACTGTGGCCACATTTTCTGTTCTCTCCAGGGAAGGTTCAACAACGAGGAAGAAAATGACCAGGTAATACAAGAGTATGGGGATTAGTTTCCTGTGGCCGCCAGAGTTTGAAGTTTCAGAAAATGTCCCTTTTTCTAAAGCAATGCTTCACTGTGATGCAAACATGCAGCAGGGGCGGCAGGCAGAGCAGGATGAACTGTTTGCTCTCTGCTGCTCTGGCAGGGGGAACAACTATCTGATAAACCTTATTCCTTAGACCAACATCACCAGCGCCAAGTGACTCAGCAAAGAAATTCTGATGTAAAACCAAGCCAGAAGTAACACTCACTTCTTCCATAGGAGACCGGTACTTGCAGTCACTGCAGATGCTCCCAGGAACGCCACCAACATCAGCCTTCGTTTGGTCTGTGCGGGCTGTGATGCTCCATGGTACCAGCGAGAGCCCACAGCTAGCTCTGCCAATGCAGAAAGGGCGTTAAGACGAAACATCCTGTGGACAAATGATAGAAACGTCACTTTTTAGATGCTGCCCGTGGTGACGATGATGGTGGTGATGGTGGTGGTGGTGGTGGTGGTGGTGGCAGCTACATCACCAAATGCTGATGAAATACTGTCAGACATCATCATGTTTTGCAGGCACTGGACTCAGAACAACTTAGGAGATCAGAGCTACTACTTAACTACTTATAAGCCAAAGGAATCAGTCAAAGTTAAATTAGAAGACAGAAACCATGCGCTAACCTAAACAGAGAAATCCTGATGTAAAATACGGTTAATTTTAACAGGAGAGTTAACCACACAGATGTAAAGAGATGGCAGCTCTAGGATGCAGCCACACTCCCAGGGCTGACAGACAGCACCCAAAAGGGGCCAGCCCATCCAGAGATGATTCCCAGATCTTATTTTTTTGATTTTGTTTGTTTGTTTGTTTGTTTGTTTGTTTGTTTTTCGAGACAGGGTTTCTCTGTGTAGCCCTGGCTGTCCTGGAACTCACTCTGTAGACCAGGCTGGCCTCGAACTCAGAAATCCACCTGCCTCTGTCTCCCAAGTGCTGGGATTAAAGGTGTGCGCCACCAATGCCCCGCTGATTCCCAGATCTTATGGAGAGGACAAAACTATGGAAACTTGGGAATTTTACAAAGGTATCATATCAGCAAAATGTACTAGAAAGCCATTTGGGGGGAATGCCAGGAAAAGCCATAAGCACTCCTGGCAGGACAATCTGTTGGTAAGCCGCTCTCCTTGGATCAGGGGAAGCTACTGAATGTTCCACTGAGGTGTGAATTGCATGGAGGCAACAGTGAAAGCACACTGAATCAGGAGGGCCAGCCCTCTCCCTGCACCTCCATCTCCTGGTGAGAAACGGGAAGCCTAAAGGGAGAAAGTGGCTGGCGTCACAGGTGCGAGTGTGACTAAGTGGCAAGTCCATGCTAGAGAGCAGCGGGGTCTGGAACCTGATGCTAGACGGTGTCACAGTGTAGCTGCAAGGCCTTGCTATTTCCTGCGCTAATGCTGAGAGATGCTGCCATTAAAGTAATTGAAGTTTGATCTAAATCTTTCTCACGCCCAGCCCTTGGAACGCTTCCTCCCTACCAGATTCTTTTCATTTCATAGTTAAAATATCACTAAAGAAAGCAATTCCTTTAATGCAATTCCTTTAATTCTCAATCTTCCCAGTGCTGTAGCCCTTTAATACAGTTCCTCGTGTGTGGTGACCCCCAATCATAAAATTATTTTCATTGCTACTTCATAACTGTGATTTTGCTACTGTTATGAATTATAATGTAAATATCTGATATGCAGAATATCTGATATGAAACACCTGCTAAAGGCCATTGGAGAACTGTTTGGGTTGAGAACCACTGCTTTCATGTTTTGTTTTTTTATTGGGACCTCACCAAGATGGTACCAAAAGTGAAGACCCTGTCCTTCTCAATCACCACACCAAAGGTTTTAAAGGCTGAGAACGCTGTGCTGAAGTCCACAGAGCAGACCAGAGTGCATGGCACCCACCTTCCTGGCAGCCGGGACACTGGAACCCTATTGTCCGAAGGGTGCCCTCAAGAGAAATAAGCCTGGGCACTATAAACCATCAAGTCCCCTAAGGAACACAGAAGACAGCACAGCACACACATGTTCCCTACAGCTGTCAAGGACTCCTGACACAGCTTTGAAGAAGCTCTTATGACACTGCTGTGGCCAATGTCACCCTAATGAGCTCTGATGGAGAGGAGGCTTGTGTCTCACGTCTGGGTGACTAATTATAGACATTTCATTCATCATAAGACAGACACATCCGTATTTGTTCATATTACTTACCTTCACACTCCCATCCCAGAGGTGAATTCCACTCTCCCAATCTTTTAATTTGGGGTGCACCTCACCATGTTCCTCACTCTGACCAATGGAATGCAGACAAGTTCTGCAAAGTCCTTTTAGGACATACTGCTGTTAGTCTTCCTCTGTGTCACCCAGAGATCATTCTGGAAGTAGACACTGGCCCTTCCACCTGGCTTCCACAAACCACTGTCAGCTCCAGCTGGAAGAGCTGAGCACAGCAGACCTTCAGAACGCTGCTGAGGAATGCTATCTGACAGCAAGAGCCACAAAGACTGGGGGCTCTTCCCTGCCTCAACCAAGGGCTAATTCAACACCCAACAGAGTGACTGAGGCACTTTCACTAAAAATGACCTGATTAAATCCATGCTGCCTGGCCATGCAAGTCATCTGAGAGATGATCCATAGATAACATTCTAAGGAAGCGAGACACACTTGAAATATTCTTTTACACTTTTATTACATGCTTGTGTGTGTGTGTGTGTGTGTACACATGCATAGGTACAATGGCATGTGTCTGGAGGCCAGAGGAAAACTGACAGAAGTCAGTTCTCTTCTACCTCCATGTGTGTCCCAGAAATTGAACTCAGGCTGTTAGGCTTGGTGGCAAGGGCCTGTAACAGCTAAGCCATCTTGCTAGCTCCTTGAAACACTTTAAAAATAATATTTATAAAATGCTATCTAAAGAAGTAGAAATAAATTATAAATGGGCATGGGGGCGTGGGGGCTCCGTGGTACTTTACAAACCCAGGGATCTCATCAGTGCTCAGAGCCCATGTTGATTGTTTAAGTCCTAGCATACTGGTGTATGCCTTTAATCCAGCACTCTGGAGGTATCTATCTACATAGTGAGCTCCAGGACAGTCAGGGCTACATAGTGAAACTGTGTCTCAAAACAACAACTAAACTCCAACAAAACAAATCAGTATAGGCAGATAGATCACTGGGCAGCTTTGACAAACTCTGGGCCAGGCATGCCCTGTCTCAAAAACAAAGCAAAACCTATAAAACCCAACAACAACAACAACAACAACAACAACAACTACTCCACAGCCAGATAGTAGATGGTGCCTAAAGAACATGGCCAAGGCTGAGGCTGGCCTCTGGCCTCCACATGGCCAAGGCTGAGGTTAGCCTCTGGCCTCCACATGGCCAAGGCTGAGGTTGGCCTCTGGTCTCCACATGGCCGAGTCTGAGGCTGGCCTCTGGTCTCCACATGGCCGAGTCTGAGGCTGGCCTCTGGTCTCCACATGGCCGAGTCTGAGGCTGGCCTCTGGTCTCCACATGGCCAAGTCTGAGGCTGG